GCCGATACCAATCAGATCCAGGAGAGGCACATTGGACTGCGGCCAAGAATATTCTAGAGTACCTGAAAAGGAACAAAGATAAATTCCTGGTTTGTGGTGGTAAAGATGAATTGGTTGTTGAGGGATATACCGACGCAAGCTTCCAGACAGACAGAGACGACTTTAAGTCACAATCAGGATACATATTCTGTCTCAATGGAGGAGCGTTTAATTGGAAGAGTGTAAAGCAAAGCACAACCGCTGATTCTTCAACTGAAGCCGAGTACTTGGCAGCATCTGAGGCAGCCAAGGAGGCAGTTTGGATTCGCAAGTTCATTGATGAACTTGGTGTTGTACCCTCCATCAAGGGTCCAATAGACCTCTATTGTGACAACAATGGAGCTATTGCTCAGGCTAGAGAGCCACGAGAACATCAGAAGGTCAAACATGTCCAGAGGCGATTTCACATGATTCGAGAATGGAAGTCAGAAGGTGAAATCAGAATTTGCAAAGTTGGAACGGATGACAATGTAGTCGATCCACTTACTAAACCTTTGCCTCAAGTGAAGCACAACAAACACATTGAGGCAATGGGAATCAAACATGTCATGAACTGGCTTTGAATTCCATTTTATAGTGTTTTAATCAAATTTTGAACAATGTTGATGTAAAGCACTATGATGAACCATTCAGTTTTGGAGTAATTAAAATTTTCATGCATTTTAAATCACTCCGTCTCTATTTAATTGTGGTTTAGAATTAAATAATGAGTCCATTCGATTTTAATAAATATTCAAAATAGGGTATCAAGTCAATGGCTTGGATAAAGAAACACCTATTAAAGTGAACATTGAATATTTTAATCGAAAATTATCCCTAATCAAGGTCATATTTTGTGGACGATTGATGACCATCAGAGATTAGTGTGTAGTATGATTTATAGCACCGTTTCTTGTGCTATGAGGATATAAATCATTTGCACAGGTATTGGTTTAGAACCATACTGGATCGACCTATGAGGATACTTTAAGAGATTTAAAATCGTCATAAGTATTTTCTCATTATTACTATCGGAACTCTTTTCCTTTGACCATGAGTAGTGGGAGATCTCTTGTTTGAGTACTGATCCGCTTTGGTATCCGCCAAACGTTCGCCGTAACTGGGGATTATAAAGACAGATATTGGGCGGGTGAGTCCTCTTAGTAAGAGAAGCTACATTACAAAACTGGAAATGTCCCCCTACTAACAATAGGGAACATGTCTTGTTGTTTACAAGGCCTCTCGAAGAGCGAGACTGTGAAAAATGCATGGCCGTGCTCAGATGGATTTTAGAAATCATCTGCTTATTGACAGTCAAACTCGGATTTCGAGAAACACTTCTGGACGTAACAGAGATGACTAGTAATCTTACTCTGTAGTTCATGAAGACACATGAAGAGACATAGGATAAGGGCTATACACTAAATGCACACTTGTCCGGAAGGACAAGTGGGAGATTGAAAGGAATAGTGTCCTTCGAACAAGTGTATTATTCTGATAGCGGGTTCAGAATTATTTCAAAGCTAATATATTCAGTAAGGTCAAGTGATCGGAATGCCTGGGTGGAGGTCGCTTCCGATCAATAATATTAATATAATTAATATTACAGCTTAATCTTGACTGAACCCCTCGGGTCACACCCAAGCAAATATATGCGAACCAACTCGACGAATTAATTCGGAAGAAATTAATTCGTCGCCCGAGTGTTAAATAATTAGACGTCGGTATTTCGAGCTTAGAGCGTCGAAACCGATCGTCGGAAGTCGAGTCTAAATAATAAAAGACGAGACACGCAAAATAATAATAAATCAACAATATTCCCGAAAATACCCTAGCATCGGAGTGCCCCGAGCATCCGAATGCTAGGGGCAAGACGAGCCGGCGCACCGTGCTGCAGCCGCGGCTAGGCACAGCAGCAGCCGCGCCGCACCACGGCAGCAGCCGCAGCCGCACCATGCCACAGCAGCAGCTGGTGCGGGCTGGGCTCGGGCCAGGTGCGGGCTGGGTGCAGGCCAGATGCGGGCTGGTTACGGGCTGGCTACGGGCCGGGCTCGGGCCGGGCTCGGGCTTGGCTCGTGGCTTGGCTCGGGCCATAGGGCCGTGTATAAGGGGGAGGTTGGGAGCAAGTGGGTTGCCATGTGGCACAAGGTGAGGGAGAGAGTGGGGAGCAAGTTTGGTCCCCATCTCCAAGTGGTCCTCACCTACTCTCTCATGTATGCTTGACACTTGTTGATTTATTACTAGTTTGCTTAATAATTTTATTTTAGCTTTAAAATAAAATGAGAAAATCTCATTGTCCCACATTGATGGGAGAGATTTTCATACTCCATCATTCCCTATAAATACCCAACTTTGGGCATAGGAAATGATGCTTAAGTGGGAGTTAAAAAGAGCATTCCATAATATTGGAAAAACTCTTAAACTCATATAACACTCGGGTTTTGGTCGGACCTCGCTAACCCCCAGGTAGTAGACCTTAAAGTTGTGTTCGCCCTTTTGCGGGTGGATACCGTTGGAGGCGCGGCGCTTGACGTGCTCGTAGCTTTCAAGTAAGAGCCCCGGTTTTTGGGCGAAGCTCGCTTCGAGGGTAAGATTCGTTATCTTTTCTTAGTAATTATTTATTTATGCTTTATGATTTTAATTATTGCGAGTGGTTCCTTGGGTCGGGGTTTGTTTCCGCGGTGAGTTGGACTCACCAAACCCCAACATCTATATCATAACATCAATAAAAACCATTAAAATACTTACTTTGATGCCTCGTACCTCTTTGTAATAACAAAATACACACGTTAGTAACTTCAAGGAAAATAATAAACAACAATTAAATTAAATAATTAAAAGAGAGATTTGGGACCAAACCCTCAGAAATTAAACCTTTCACGTCTAGGGCGAAGGTAACTTCGAATATGGCTAGGTGTTTCTAGATCTAATGAATGCGAAATTTTTATATTTGAGAGAAGCTAGTTTAGAAAATAGAGAGAGAGAGAGAGAGAGAGAGTAATCAAGAGAATCTTGATGAGAGTTGGTGAATTAAAATGGAGTTTTTACGACGTTATTAATAAAGAAAATCAGCCAAAAAGATAAAATATCAAAACAGAGTTTTGGCGCACGTAAAACCTGATCAGCGCCAACGCTGGCTATTGGCGCCAGGCGCCAATGCTAGCGCCAAGCATAGCGCCAGGCGCTACAACTGGCGTTTGGCGCTGATCTGGAAATTCACGCGTTTTCTTAAAATCAGATAAAAATTGCCGTACAGGAGGATAAAATCGTATTTCCCTCAAAAATGCTCTTTGATTTTAATTAAAACTCTGAAAAGTCAACAAAAGTCAATTTATCAACGCTAATTGAATTAGGAATGAAATGAACCTTCTAGAAGAATTTAGAAGACTAAAACCATTCCTAATTGCATTAGGAATGATAAATCTATTAGGCCCTCCCCTAAATCATTGGACCGCATATAAGGCTCAAACCGGGCCCAATTTAGTAAATTGGCCATAACTTCCTCAATATTCATCGGAATTGGGCTTATAATATATCGTTGGAAAGCTCTTATCAAGCCTCATCCAACTACACTACTATTGGACCCATATCATGGACCAACCAAACTGGATTGGCTGTTTTCTTAAAATAAGTTTTCAAAAACAGAGAGAAGAGAAAAGAAATTAAAACTATCCGCAACATTAGACTTTCCACACTTTCACTTCATTCGATTATGATTCGACGCGAAAGGTACTCATCACTGGTTTGGTTTTGGGGAGACACAAATGGGTGTCTACATCAGCCTGCAAGGAAAAATCTTGAGAGTAAATATAGGCAGGAAAAGGTTGTCATACAGAAAGAAAAGGAGAGGAGATTCTTGTTGGAGCAACACAAAAAAAAAAATACATCCAGCAAAATAGAGGCAAATAGAATTTAGTTAAATTTTGAAAGTTAGATAATTATATTTTTACGATTATTCATATGTATATATATTTTCTTTTTGCAATCAGATATTAGGTTTCTTTTGTTTGATAATATTTAAGTATAATTACATATAAATTTTGTTTTTGTAAGCTGTTTTTACGATTATTTATATGTATATATTTTCTTTTTATAGTCAGATATTAAGTTTCTTTTGTTTGATAATTTCAGTCAAGATAAGATTGTTTATGTTAGAATGAAATTAGATTACTTTTACCAGGAATAAGAAAATAAAAGTTAGGAATTAGATTATTTTATTCTAGAAATAAGTCATTTTTTCCAGGAAATAAATTATATCAGTCAAGAATAAGGTTTTTTATTCAGAAATTAGATTACTTCTGTCAGGAATAAGAAAAAACATATCAAAACTTAATTTATATTAAAAAGTAAAAATATCATAATCAAAATATCAGAACATAGTATTTTTAATTTTACAATTATTTTGAATAAAAAAAATTATTTGATGAATGACCCTATATTAAATAAGTTGTGGATTTGGAGTTTTTGTACCAAACTCATTTGGATCTCTAGTTGTTGTTCTTCTTCTTTCAAAATGTCCTCTAATTCTTTTGTTCTCTTTGGCCTTCCTTTTGTTTTTGTTCGTTTTGGATCTTTTACTGTATTCCTTCTCTCTTCTTCTTCATCAAGTTCACGAATTTTTTCTTCATTTGTTTGAAACACTTTTCTTCCAGATTTGTACATTTGTTCCAAAACATCATCACAATATTTTTTATGTATCTTCGTTCCCTTGACATATTGTTACAAGGTTGTAGAAATTCTTTGTTATTAACTATCTCCTAGGAGTGTTTATTAAAGAATGATCGGTAGTTGGGAATAAGATAATATTTCTCAGGTATATATATATATATATATATATATATATATATATATATATATATATATATATATATATATATATATATATATAGACCAAGTTATAATGAGAACTAATTAAATAATAAGAACTGAGAACTGATGTGAATCGTCAGATCTAACTTAAATTCGCGCATGATGAGCGGTTGTGATTATTTCAAACAAATTAGATGAATTTCACCAAAAATCAACCGTGATTTTCTCTCTCTTCAACCTTACTGACACCATTTCCAATTCTATGTTCTCCTTAAGCATTTTCTCTCTCCTCACTCCATTTTCGCTAAAAATCGCCATTGATAACTACTCTTCTACTCAAAAACTGCCATAAATTCTCTTTCTCGTTTGTTATTTTCTGTTGGTGATGAAATTACTCATTGATTTTTGCTCGTTTTGAAATATATCACTCGATGAAAGGTCGAAAAACTAGGTATAATTTCAAATTTTTAATTTATGCCAAATTTATACTGTTGTGATAATCTTAGAGGGTTATAGAGTTTGAACTGTTTTTAAAATTTGATTTATCACAAAATTGTATTTGCCAACGTTTAATTTTATTTTTTCAGTTATACAATTTCGGACTTCATCCGATTTCTCAAGTGCAATTTCTTCGGCAACAATGAATCCATCATTAATCTGCAATATGAAGCTCAAAGCTAGGTATTATTAGCATTTTATAAGTTTGATATTAGTTTTTAGCTAAACAATTGAAGTAATTTACAGTTCCTTGCAAATTAATTTTGTATGATTATTCAATTATTTTCTCAACTGCTATTTGTCGCTCCCATTTTACCAGGTAACGCTCCCTATTTGACTTGAATGGACCACTATGCTCTTTATGCAATTTGTGTTATAAAAAGGACCTTGTTCCCCATTTGGACACAATACATGAAACAGTCCCCTCACTTCACGACATTGCTGTCCCGAGCCTCCCAAAATCGGTCCCCACGACCTTGCAACCAAATCGGTCCCCTCGACCACCTAAATTTTATATTTTAAAAAATCGTGAAATTTCGATGGGTCTTGGGTCATGGACGGCGAGTGGAACATACGTACACCGGAGAATGCGTCGGATCATTCTGTAAGTTTTTTTTTATTTTCGGCAATTAGGACATCCGCCTAAAATTTCCGGATGTACCATGGAACATCCGGAAATTTCAAGAGGAAGTTGGGATCCGCCTGAAAATTCCGGATGTTCCATGGTACATCCGGAAATTTTAGGCGGATGTACCAAGGGACATCCGGAAATTTTAGGCGGATGTCCCTGTTCATATTTAATTTTTTTAAAAATTTTATATTTAATATTTTTTATGTTAATTAAGTTTTTTTTTTATGTTTTTTTTTCGTGGTCTTGTGATTATTGTTGTGATTTAGTTGATAATTAATGTAATTTTTTTGTTATTATTATTATTATTATTTATTAATTAATGTTGTGGTCTTATAAATTGTTTTGTAGTTGTTGGTTTAATTTTTTATTATCATTAATATTGTTATTGTTTTGTATTTGTTGTTATTATTATTAGTATTGTTATTATTATTATTAGTATTGTTTTTATTATTATTATTGTTTTTATTATTATTATTTTGACATAAACCATGTTTTGTTTAATTTGTATAGGATATGGAATCTGAGGAAGGCGGTGACAGTGTGAATTATAGTGGGAATTTTGTCACCGATACATTTTTTCCTACATTTGACGATGCAGTTACATGGGCTGATGGTGTTTCCATAAAATTGAGATTTATATTGGTGAAATCGTCTTATAACAAAACCAGAGATGGTCGGTCGTATCGGTATTTGCGATGTGATCGGTCACGAAGGAGCAAGCTGAGAGATTTGGAGAACGCGATACGGAAGGACACCAAAACCAAAGCTAATGGTTGTCCATTCTACATCAAGATATATTATGATGTCAGCACCGAAAGTTGGAAAATCATTGAGAAAAATGATCACACCAGGACACATAACCACCCAATGATTGTGTACCCAGAGGGTCACCGTAAAGTGAGCGGATTGAGTCCGGGTGCAAAACGGGTTGTGCGGGACATGACAAAGTCCAAGGTTGCTCCCCGTAACATCATGTCCTCTATTGCCGAGCAATTTCCTGATGATCATCCAAACATCCGACACATTTACAATTGTCGAAATGACTTCTGGATGGAGATGTCCGAAGGAAGAGGAGTTGTTCAGCAATTTCTTCATCTGGCGAGAGAGAGTAAATACATTTACTGGGTCACGAACGATGATCACAACGTTTTGCAACATGCATTTATGGTGCACCCGATCATGGTCAACATACTCCGCACATACCCACATGTCATAGGTATGGATTCTACTTACAAGACCAATCGATATAACATGCCTTTCTTTGAGATAGTAGGCGTGACACCGACAAACCAGAATTTTCTAGTTGGATATGTTTTCATGCGCGACGAGTGCACGGCTAGCTATTGGTGGGTGTTGCAAAGATTAAGGGAGTTGATTGGGTTTGATAAAGAGCCATCTGTATTTATTTTAGACAGTGATCTTGGACTATGTGCGGCTTTGAGAGAAACAGCGCAAAACACTACGCTCCTGCTCCATCCAGATATACCGTGCCACGTGACCGCCAAAACTAGGGATAACTGACCCATCCTCAGGCCCACCCGGCATCGGTTCCTGCACTTACCTTGCCTCTGCAGAGCTGGAAGTAGGCTGACTCGATCCACTACCAACAAATCTCCCAAACTGACCCCTATATACCATATGGAAATCCTGAGGGTCCTATTCTTCATCCCGGTCACCAGCATGACTAGCCGAACATTCGTCTTCTTCGTCAGATATGGGTGCTCCACTTGCAAGGTACAAGGGCCGATTACTACCAGACTGTTGGTCTCCCGACCAACCACTAGTAGACCCGTATTGCTGCTGCTCGGGCTGAAGCGGTGTAGATCGAGATGTCTGTCTCCTAACAGACGCATTCAGACATCTTGATATTGCATGTCGAGCACCAGAACCCTCGATCTACATAAAATAAGAAAATAATCCGATTTTAGTAATAATAATAATAATAATAATAATAATAATAACAACAACAATAACAACAAATAAACTTAACAACAACAACAATAACCATAATAAAAATAACAACAACAACAACAACAACAACAAATATTAACAACAACAATAACCATAATAACAACAACAACAACAAATACAAATTAACAACAACAACAACAACAAATACAAATTAACAACAACAACAATAACCATAATAACAATAATAATAACACAAAACCATATTATTAATAATTAAAATCAACAAAACCATATTATTAACGGGCAAAAAAAGAACGAAAAAAAAAAATTGGAACTTCCGCCCAAAAATTCCGGAAGTTCCATGGAGGATCCGCCTGGAATTTCCGGATCCTCCATGGAACATCCGGAATTTTTGGGCGGAAGTTCCTGGATCCGTAATTAAAAAAAAAAATTACCTCGTCGGCGGCTGCCACTAGCGTCGCCGAAGCTCCTCCCTCCGAAATTCAGCCTAATCCGCCTCGAATCACCCATTTTTTTGTGTTTTTGATGATTGTTGTTTTTTTAAAAAATGAAGAAAAATTTTTGAAATTTTTTTTTTAAAATTTTTAGAGTGTTTTAGAGAGTTAGAGGGTAAGAAAGTTAGAGAGAGAAGTAAGAAAGTGATAAATGTTGGTTGGGAAGGAAAAAACCGTATTTATATATTAGGGGTAAAATTGGAATTTCAAAACAAAAAGGGAGCGTTACCCGGTAAAATGGGAGCGATGAATAACAACACCCATTATTTTTGTTACTGATTTTTGTGTAAATTAATGAATTATGAGGAGTTTTGTGAGATGTTTGTGTTTGAATTTGACATTTTCTTACTACTTTTTTTATTTGAATTTTGGATATTGATTTGTACAGTTTAAAGAGATGATTAATTAATTACTTATCTACTATAAATGGGCTTACGAAAGTAGATACAAAATAAATTAAAGTAAATAAAATATTTCTAAGAGTAAATAGAAATGTAATTTACCTTTTCTACTTCTAAAATCAAGAAATTACTATGAATTTTTATGATATAAAATTCAAAACCTTCTGTTATATCTTATAATCCTTGGACAGTGAGCTTGACTTTATAAGTAATAAAAGTAGATACAAAAAGTTAAAGTAAATCAAATACGAGCTTGAACTCCCATTCGACCTGATGCTGCTGCTCTCCAAGGGCCTCCCTTAGACTCCTTCATTAGCTTTTGTGTTTTCTATTTTCAGTGCTTTATTGCTTTCCTTATAGTCTAGTTGATTTGGTTGCTTTACATCTGGGGTGACTACATGATTGCTTATTTTATCCACTAGCACAATTTTGGGTCACTACTATATGAACTACTCTATGTGTTTTTTAACCCTATAATGTTATATGGTCGGTTTCTTTGTTAAAAAAAAATGAGTTTGAGTTTGAAGCTCTACAATCAATGATGCCTTTGTACACTCTATATCACCCTATTAATAATGATCCAATTGTTCTTAGATATATAAAGGAGGTGTTGCACTTCTGCAAGAAGACCATTTTGCCTTAATAATACTTTATTTTCTATAATGATAAGGTTGGGTTTTGTTTGATTTTTGCTGCATTAATAATTTGATAATGATGCAAGCAAGATTTTTCATTTGCTGATTGTTCCTATAAGTTTTAATTGCAAATTGATTTTGATGGCAAATGATGCATCTTTTTTTTTCCTTTCTTTCTTTCTTTCTTGTGGTATTCTTGTTTTTCTTCTACTTTATTAACATTTTCATACAATAAAAGCTCTACTTTATCAACATTGTTCTCATCCGATTAAAACTCTACTTTATCAGCGTTGTTCTCATATGAGGAGAATCACATGATTCACATCAGTTTTTTTTATTAATCATAGGAAAAGTACATCGGTTCTCTCTAGAAGTAAGTAAAAAAGAATATAAAGTAAATAAGAAAAGACTTTAAAGTAAACATATTAGCTCAAGTGGTAGAGCACTATTCATATGCATAGAGGTGTTGGTTCGATTCCTACATAGGTTATCTCTAAAAGTAAATATAAATCAATTTGAAGTAAATCAAAATAACTAAAAAGTAACTCATATTAGCTCTAAGGTGTATGAATAAATATTTGGATTTTAGTGATTAGTGACTATGACAACTTTGTTATAGCATTCATAACTTTTATATCCTTACATGATTAGTCAAGTTATTAGATAGAAGTATATTGAGCTCTAACGTTAAAGTCTTCATATTAAAAGTAAATAAAATAATACCAAAAGTAAATAAAAAATTTCCAATAGTTAGATTATCGATTATGCTTTAGATTGTTACTAGGTGTACTAAAACCTATTAGCTCAAGTGATAAAGCACTATGTAAATGCGTAGGGGATGTAGGTTCAATTCTTACATAGGTTATCTCTAAAACTAAATGAAAAACGTTCAAAGGAAATTAAACAACATTGAAGTAAATGAAAAACACTCAAAAGTAAATAAAAAACACTAAAAAGTAAATAAATCAAAAATAGATAAGGTGAACTGGAATTGCAGGAACTAGTTTCATCTAAAAAATCTGCCCATGCTTATAAATTAGATGAGGTTAATAGCAACATTGAGACAGAAAAGAAGAAAGCTACTAGAGATAGAAATTGTGGTGATCTTGAGATTTCTATTAAGGTAGAACATTAAATATCACTACTAGAAAAATAATTTTTGGCAACAAAAAAAAAACGTCGCCTAAAACTCTTTTTTCGTCGCCCAAACACATGTGCAACGAATTTCAAGTCGTCGTGAGCTCGTCACACTAGGGTCGACGCCCATGCATTTTTGGGCGACGAATTGTTCTTTTATTGCACAAACAGATATTGGGCGACGGGCTAGGTTGTTGCCCTTACTACATATTTGGGCCACGAAACATCATTACGTTGCCTATGCTGATGAACTTTGGGCAACGACTTCTATTTGTCGTCGCCTAAAGGGGATGTCACAGATTCATGCGTAATGGTAAGGACAACTATAATGTCGTCGCCGAAAAGCATTTTGGGCAACGAAATGTTTATTTGTTGCCCCATGCTTGAATGCAACGGCAATTTCATTATACAATGTGCAATGCATTTTGTTCTCACCTTTCTCAAACCTGTTTTTCTTACTCAAACATTTACATTTCGTAGTTGTTCAAAGATATGACATAAAAAAATATATTCAATATAATAGTAACAAGGTTTTTTTAGAAAATAACACCATAAATTTTTCGAAAAATGGATTATAACACCACAAAATCTCAAATTTTTGTTATAACACCACATAAAAATACAAAAATTTGATTTCACCACCACTTAACGGATTCTTGGATGGAATCCGTTAATGGGGCTCACTTTGGACACGTGTCAATGCTTTATTGGTTCAAAAAAAAAACTAAAACCTAACCCAGCCATACTCCACCGCCGGCAACCCTATTTTACATTGCCGGCAGCCGAACTCTCTCCACTGCTGTCGAAACCCGCTGCTTCACGGGTAGTCACACTCAGCCACGCCCTTCCCTTTCTCCAAATCAACAAACCCTTTCCTAACTCTTTTCCCCCTTTCCGAAAACCACCGCATCAGCCACCTCCACCTCTAAAACAATCGAAATCGACATAACCTAAAACCATAATTGCCGATAATTGAATTCAAATTGCTCTCTTGAGTGCGCGAGGTTGCTGTGGAGGTGTAGTGCGCCAGGAGGTTATGTGGGTTGGTGCGGTGCGCGAGGTAGTAGCGTGGGTCGGTGCGGGGCGCGAAGTGCTGCTTTGCTTTGGTGGGTTGATGCGGTGCGTGAGGTGGCTGGGTTGGTTTTTGGGGATGGAGAACGGGTTGAGTCGCTGGTTTTGGTGGGGGCAAGGGTGTGCTGGCGACTGGGTTTGGGTTGTCGGTGTTGAGGGCAGGTGGTGCCGGTGGTGGGGCTTGGTTGTGTTAAGATTTTTTCTTTTTATTTTTATTAGGGTTTTTTAATTTATTTTAAACCATTAGATTATTGACACGTGTAGTTTGAGGGCCATACTAACAGTTTTCATCCAAAGAACCGTTAAGTGATGGTGAAATCCATTTTTTGTGTTTTTTTGTGGTGTTATAATCAAAGTTCTTTTTTTGTTGGTGTTATAATCCATTTTTTGCAAAATTTATGGTGTTATTTTCTAAAAATACCTAATAACAATCATACGCATTTTTAAGTATTACATGCTTCTCCAACTTCAATCCAAGGAAATCAAAATTACATCTACAATATTTATATTGTTCTACAAGGAAATTGATACATACAAAGTTAAAATTTTCAATCACTGAAAATACTCACTATACATAATAAAGATAAAAAATTTATCCAAAATGTACTTTACGTTCTTCGATTTGTTACAAAATAAAATAATGACCTCTAGTTCCTGAAAGGCAATAAACCAATATTAGATCATAAGGTCATGCAAAAGAGAATTAGTATAATATCATCAAAGTGTAAAAGCATATACAAATTAGTTAGTGAAATTCTCAAGTTATAAAAAATACCTTGCCATCTTGCACTACTATTTCTTTATAAAAAAAAAGTTATTACTGGTGAGGAATGGAATGTAAAATAATGCTTTTATTTTGCTTGTGTGAATAGAACTTCTTCTTACATCCTTTTTAAATAAACTATTAATCATAGCATGATGCAAAAGAATATTTAAAAAAAAAAAAAAAAAAAAAAAAAAACGAGCAATACCCTTTCAATCTCATTCTTAAATGGTATTCTATCAACAATAGTATCATTTTAGAATCAACCTATAAGTGGTAGTCTACACAAATGTGAGCAGTAAATAAATCCGCAGCATCCTACTTCTAAGATCAAGTTTCACAAGAGTATATGTTGATATATTCTAGCATCCATTTAATTAGCAATGTAACTATTGACCGTACAATTCGAGATTCCCAACGTAAAGAAAAGTTTTTCAAGAAACAAATACAAGACTTAAATTCGCCAAGAATTGATATACTACTATGAATTAAAGCTCAAATACTAATAAGAATAGGATTAACATAAACAATGAACAAAGAAGTTATACCTGGCGAAGAATATGGCTAGTATTGAGCTCAAAAGTATTATTAGAGACAAAAGAATCGAAAGCAGTTTCATTGCTCCAAAATCTAACTCTCGCCTCTGTACTACAATATTCTATCCTTGTTTACCCAAAAATCAAGATACTTCGTAAGTATTCAGAATACATCCATCAATTGAAACAAAAAATAAATAAATGAAAATAAATATTTAAAAAACAAATAAAGAACAAGCCGTTCAATAGCTGAAAATTTTAAAATTGTATCCAACAATATACCTTTTAAATTGTACCACAAAACTAAAGAGTAGATTTTTTTCCCCTATATCCTATAGAAGTATATGAATTGAGTTTTATAATATTGGGTCAAAATATTTACATTTAAACATAATAACTAACCTCATAGATTCACAAAACAAGATTGAGCAAATGATATTTTTCAGATCAATTGAATTACCTTTTTTTTCTCTGAATAACAATTGAATTACATTGGCATCTCCTAAAAATCAGATCTATATAGAAGCAACAATTACCAGATTGTCAACGATTGGGGACATAAAATCAAATAAATAAATAAAAGAGAAACAATTACTAGATCTTTCGTTGGGCGTCCATTCCTTGCATGTCGCCATTAACAATATCTAGGATAAAGATGGTGTTGGGAGAGAGCGAAGAAGATGGAGGAAAAAGATAAAGATGATAAATTAAGGTTGAGAAAGTGCGGGTTCTAGAGGAAATGGGGGATGCAAAGTATACTGTATATCCAATTTTTATTGTTTGGTTTTTCAAAATTAGAATTTTTGGGCCAAATTTTAGGCGTACAAAATTTCCGCCATTTTTTCAGTATTTGGGGCGACGACTTCAGCTAGTTGTCGTTTTTTTCGTGATTAAGGGCAACGAATGAAGAACCTTTGTTGCATAATAAAATCTTTTGGGCGATAAATTATATTTTCGTTGCCTATTATTTCCTTTGGGCAACAAAAACAATAGTTTGTCGCCCATTAGTTATTATGGGCAACAAATCTAACAACTCGTCGCCCAAATTATTGTAATGGGCAACGAGTTCGTATTGGTTGCCTAAAATATGAGATAAGGGCAATGAAGTTGTTTTTCGTTGCACATACAAAACAATGTCGTCGCCCAAAATTATATTTCTTATAGTGTATTAGCAGAAGCCAATATTAAAAATGTTAGAGGAAAAGTGTAGTGCTGACAACACCTATTTGAGGGGCTACTGTGTCACTTAGATTGATTAATATTTTAAAGAGGGAGCTGAATAAGGTGAATTATATGCTTGGGGGCGTTAAAACTGGAAGGAATACATGTTGCTACAGAGAAAGTGCACGCACATCTACATAAGTTAAAATCAGAAGAACAGGTGATAATATATTTCAAGAGCTAGTAAATTCTAGACAATAGGATCAGATATGGAACATGAGTTAAATAAAGTAAACCTATTAGCTCTACTGGTAGAGCACTATGCGGATGCATAGAGGTGTAGGTTCGATTCCTACATAGGTTATCTAAAATAATAAATATAAAAGTAAATATTAAATAATAAAAAGTAAATTGAAATATTCTAAAAGTAAATAAAAATCTCAAATGTAGAGTGAATAAAAATTAATTTTATCTAATAAATAAACCTAGGTGGGATTCGAACCCACATATTTTATGTTCTACTTGTTGAAACAAAGAAATAAGTTCCTCTAATATTGATGCTCTATTCTCTATGTGTATTTTCTCAATTGTCAAATTTCATAAAACACGATCATAATTTGAAGTGATCTCTACGGTAATAAAAGAAAAGAATATAGAGTGAATAAAAAAGACTTTAAAGTAAATTGAAATATTCTAAAAGTAAATTAAAAAATCTCAAAATTAGAGTGAATAAAAAATAGTTTTATGGTCTCTAAAGTAAATAAAAAAGAATATAAAGTAAATAAAAAAAGAATATAAAGTAAATAAAAATGACTTTAAAGTAAATTGAAATTCTAATAGTAAATAAAAAGATCTCAAAAGTAGAGAATAAAAAAAATAGTTTCGTGGTCTTTGTAGTAAATAAAAAAGACTATAAAGTAAATAAAATTGAATTTAAAGTAAATCGAATCAAAATATTCTAAAAGTAAAGAAAAAAAATCTCAAAAGTAGAGTGAATATAGAGTAAATAGAGTGATCTCTACGGTAATAAAAGAAAAGAATATAGAGTAAATAAAAAAGACTTTAAAGTAAATTGAAATATTCTAAAAGTAAATTAAAAAATCTCAAAAGTAGAGTGAATAAAAAATAGTTTTATGGTCTCTAAAGTAAATAAAAAAGAATATAAAGTAAATAAAAATGTCTTTAAAGTAAATTGAAATTCTAATAGTAAATAAAAAGGTCTCAAAAGTAGAGAATAAAAAAAAAAAAATCGTGGTCTTTGTAGTAAATAAAAAAGACTATAAAGTAAATAAAATTGAATTTAAAGTAAATCGAATCAAAATATTCTAAAAGTAAAGAAAAATAAATCTCAAAAGTAGAGTGAATAAAAAAAATAGCTATGTCTAATGAATGAACCTATGTGGGATTCGAACCCACATCTTTTGTGCATTTGCATAATGCTCTAACCGTTGAGCTAGTAGGCTAGTGTATATTAATCCTTCAAAGTAAAACAAAATCACTCAAAAGTAAATAAAAAGTTCTCAAAAGTGAATAAACCTACGTGGGAGTTGAACCCATATCTTTTCAAGGGCTGAACCCTTTTCAAGGGCAGCTGCCTCAATCGGGTCTGGGAGTCTAGAACTCTGAATCATGAGTTTGAAGATGGTTTCTTAGGCATTAGGGGAAGACAGAAGAATTCAGGGTGTTGTTGTAGTATAACATGTAGATTGGTTCTATACATTTAAGGTTCAGATCCCTATAATCCCTTTTTCTATACTCTATACATCCAATATGCCTGATATACTACAGCGATGCAGAGAAGATACCTGACAAGCAGAAACCTTGGCTGGTAGGGGAGCAGCAGTAACCTTAGCTAGCAGGGTAGGAGCGACAACCTTGGCTGGCAGGGGAGTAGCAGCAACCTTGGCAGGCAGGGGAGCAGCGGCAGGGCAGCAACCTTCACAAAACAAATACGTAGTATCACACTAAAAGTATATATATAACTAACATTACAATAGACCGTATTGTGAGGTTCAAGCTTTTGGGCATGGTAAGGAGTTTGTGAGTGTGATATAAGCTTAACACAGCACATCAAAGAGGTACCCCATTATGTATCAAATAATCACAAGAGACTACGACATAAAACCAAAACAACAAAGAAGTGCTATATGTTACCAATTCTAACAAATGGATGAGTCACACAAAGCAAGGCACTGTAAAGCTTAGTTGCTCAATTAGCCAAGCTACTTTAAGAACTCAGGCATCAGTTATATAACCCAGAGTAATTAGCAAAGGCTTAAGCCAGCCAAAAATTCTGACTACATTACAACCACTAGCAAGGGCAGTTTCCAACTACATTAAAAAATGAGGAATTGAAAAGGGTGCCTCAGATGCAAGTTCAACGCCAAAGTTATTATAAAAAGCATCAAACGGAATACTAGTGAAGGCACAATCAAAATCAAGACCAAGCCCAATACATAAGCATGGAAAGCAAAATCTGATAAACCATGCCTTTACTTCTGCCCAATTGCACATCAAGATAATAGAATAGAGTAAACACAATTTATAATTAGATGTGTGTAACATTCAGTCTATAGTCTTTACTAACTAGAGGCATGTAAGTTGTGCCTTAAATAATGAATGCACATACGCACATAAAGATGCAGGGAGGAGAATAGTAACAATTCCCCTGAAATTTTGAAACTATCTATTACCAATGATGCAGCAAGTCAAAATTAAAAAACCACAAAAAAGTAAATTAAATTCCACAAAAAGTAAATGACACAAAGCAAAAAGTAAATTAAAAGGCACAAAAAGTAAAACAAACGAAATGAAAGAAAATTAAGAAGAATTAAACAGCAACACTAATACGAATGTTTCTTCAGAACATAGAACAAAGTAAATGGAGCAATATTTATTTCAGAACCTTGACCAAAGAGGAAATCATGAAAAGAACAATAAATCATAATATAAGACTCAAAACAACACAAAATCATACAATTAGACTCAAAATAAAAAAAATTAAAAAAAAAACCAAATCGTAATATAAAACCCTAAAATGCAGTAAGTAATTCAAAATATACCCAAATCGTAGTATATCAACCATCAATCGTAGAAAGTACTTCAAAAAAAAACAAAATCATAACAAAATAACACTAAATAAAACAAGAATAAGCTGAAAAATCGAACGAAAACAAAAACAACAATTAAAAAATGATAAATCGAACAAAAAAACAAAAAATCTCAAATCGAACTAAACAGATCGCAAATTGATAAAAAAAATTTACAAAGTCGCAAAAAGTATAATAAATAAAAAAGAATTACCTCAAACAATGATGAAAATCAAAGAATCACAACAAAAAACTGATGAGCGAAGAAGAAAATCCCGTTTCGATACAAGAGAAACGACTAGAAAGTACTTTGAAAGGCGCCGGCTCCCAAATTACAGAGAGAGTTGAAGGTACAGAGAGAAAGTACAATAGAGGAGAGAGAAACAAAAGAACTGCCAAAAGAACAGGAGAAAGGTCATTCAACAGGCAAAATTACCAAAATGCTCTTAATGAGATTGAAAAAGGCGGGTGAAACACAAACCGTCGGATTGAGAGCGATCAACGGTTTTGATGAATTCCTAGTTCCTATTATAGGACTTGGTTCTCACATGATCTTGATTATATATATATATATATATATACATATAAGAACTAGGAACTAATTTAGGCCCTTAGATCATGATAATCAGACGGTCAATATGCTTCCCGTTTCATTAATGGCATTGTCGTAATATTTCAACTTTATAAAGTGATTTCCAGTTACATTTCTAAAAAGTAAATGAAAAGTTAGTAAAAGTAAATGAAATCTGTCATAAAGTAGATGAAATTACGTTCAAGGTTAAAAAACTAGGAAAAAAGTTTAAAAATTCGCAAAATTACAAAAATGCCATTAATGAATGTTGGTGAGATGTGAGCCGTCGGATGTAGGTTGATTAATGGTTGAGATTGGTTCCTAGTTCTTATTATTCACCTTGGTTCTCACATGATCTCAATTATACACACACACACACACACACACACACACACACACACACACACACACACATATATATATATATATATATATTTATATATATATATATATATATATATATATATATATATATATATATATATTTATATATATATATATATATATATATATATATATATATTATGGAATGAAATTATAATTGTCAGTAATAACAATATAAATGCCAGGAAGAAGATTATGCTTGTCAGGAATAAGATAAACTTAGTCAGGAATAAGAATTTCATCAAGTTAGGAATAAGTTTTTGAATTTGTTAGGAATAAGATGATATTTGTCAGGAATAAGTTTATTATCAGGAATAACAATACTTATATTGTTTTCTACATGAGCCATAAGTTTTCTAACAGGAATAAGATTTTGTTTGTCGAGGGATCAAATTTGTTAGGAATAAAAATATTTCTAACAGGAATAAGTTTTCTTGCATCATAAAAAGTTATACAAATGCTAAAGTCGTGAAAAAAAAGTCATTCAAATCTGAAAAATTAATTTATTGCATCATGAAAAAGTGACACAAATCTGACTAAAGTCATGAAAAAGTTATACAAATTTGAAAAAACTAGTTTATTGCATCATCAAAAAGTCATACAAATTTGAAAAAGTAATTGATTGCATCATAAAAAATTCATACAAATCTTACTAAAGTCATAATTTCTTCTCTTACAATACATGTTAATTAGGAAAAATTCATTTTATAAATCCCAACTTTGGGCATTTTACTTTTAAAAATCCCAACTACGCGTTTTCCCTAATAAATCCCAACTTTTAGGGGTATTTTCTTTCATAGGACCCAAATGACCTGTTACCTGAATAAAAGGTTAACTTTTTAATTTTTTTAAAATTGCCATGTGTCACATAGTCATTTTTTAAAATTCGGCGCCCAGCCCTCCTCGACCTCGAAACCCACCCTTTTTCCTTCCCCCACCCTCGAAACCCTCCCCCCTCCCCGTAAAACCACCCCTCCCCAAACCCCCACCCTCTAAAAACGCCCCCTCCCTCCCCGTGGGTCGATCTCAGGGGTGGGGGAAGGGAGGTGGGGCGTTTTCGAGTGTGGGGGATTAGGGGAGAGTGGTTTTACGGGATAGATTTAGGGAGGGGGAGGGTTTCTCGACGGCGAGGGTTGTTTTCCGGAAACTAAAGGAGGCGGAGGGTCGGGGAAGGTAGTATCGGGATGGGGGAATTCTGGCAGGGGAGGGATTCTTCGCGGGGGAGGGGGGCTGGTGGTTTTGAGGGTAAGGGTTGCTGGTTGTTAATTTATTTTATTTTATATTACATTTTTTCTGATTTTTTTTTAAATTTTCAGATATTTTTTTTAATTTCTGATTTTTTTTTGTTGAATTTTCTGATTTTTGTAAAAAAAATTCTGATTTTTTTAATTTTCTGATTTATTTTAATTTTCTGAATTTTTTGGACAAATTAAAGTGTGACACGTGGCCTAGAAACCTAGAGTAGTAGGTTTGGTGACATGTTGGGTCCTCTAAAAGAAAATGGGTATGAAAGTTAGGATTTTTCCAGGATAACACATAGTTGGGATTTTTTAAAGTCAACCGCCCAAAGTTGGGATTTATAAAATGATTTTTTCCTATTAATTATTGCTATTCATACATAATTATTCTCTATTTAAAGGCTATTTTAAATTAAATTTTTTCTATACAAAGACTTTTGTTAATAACCTCTATTGTTTCTATATAAGGTTGAATCATATATCATTAACTTATATTTTATTTCTTCTATACAATTTTGAAGACAATGGCTGATTTTTATGCAAATATGGCAAAATGTTCTGTTAATTTCAGACCAATTTATGGGCTAGTTTGGTAAATACATTAAGCTTTATGCTTATAAATTCGATTTGTGTTTTAGTAAAAATTTAATGTTTTCATTCTTTTTTGGTGTTTTTTTTTTATTTTAGCCGCTTCCTGCAGAATGGAAAAGTTTGCCTTTAAGATTCACAGGTCCAGTTAGAGTCTATCATGGGAATAATGGCAGATTTTGGGAGATAAGAGTGATAAGCGTACCACAAAATACAAGAAGTCGTGGTGGCTGTTTTATTGATGATGGATGGACAAGATTTGTAGCATCCAATAATATTGTTGCTGGAGAAAGACTAGATATTTATCACGATAATGATTCAAATTTTTACATTAGAGCTTTTAATGCTGAGGGTAATGAAAGGCTTCCTACCTGAAGCTGAAAATGGTATTAATGTATAAGTTCTATTATTAAGATTATGTTTGTAAGAAATACATTTTTTTTATCAGAAATAATAATATTTGTATCTAGAATAAGTTTATATTAATCAGGTATAAGATTATGCTTTTCAGAAATAAGTTATTTTATCATAAATAACAATATTTTTTATCAGGAAAAGACTATATTTATCAGGAATAAGATAGTGTTTGTCAGGAATAAGTTCTATTTAATTAGGAATAATAATATTTTTATTTTATATTTAATTAACAAATAATAGAAAAAAAAGTATGTACGTACCTAATTCATTTTCATCCTATATCATTGATTTTGCAAGCCTTGTCCAATGTTTCAGAACGTATCACTCCAGTATAGCATGTATGATGTACATAAGCATTATCTTGAGGATGTGAAAGCACAGCAATTCGATCTATGTGAAGCACATACAATAACACACAAACTTATGGTGTTGACAATGATATATGACTTGATAGATGTGCTTATAATCTTCATCAAGAGACACATCAAAGAATTTGACATATTGCATTGAAGTGGTCTTTTCTCTTGCATATGCTCCTAGACTTGTATCAACTTCCAACTTAAAATCCTTGTATAAGTTTAGAGTATAAACTTCAGCTACATGTTTTAATATTTTTGTTGTTGTTTTTGGTTTCTCAGTAGTACATCTGAAGTTGTCACTCTTTTTAGTGCTTCTCCATCTTCTCACAGTAGCTTCAAATAAACATGGGCACGGGCCGTGCCGGCACGCGAGCGGCACGGGCCCAGCACGACTCCGGCACGGCGGCCCACCTGTGGGCCGTGGGCCGTGCCGTGAACAAAATTGTGGGATTTGGCACGGGCACGGCACGTGGCACGCCGGGCGGCACGGTGGCCGGCACGTGGGCCGGCACGCTGGCACGACCCGGCGGCACGGCACGTGGCACGGCCGGGCACGACACGGCACGGCACGAGCTCGCAAGGCACGGCCCGGCACGGCACGACCCGTGCCATACCATTGGAAAACTAGCCGTTTATGGCCGTTTTTCAACAGCTATAAACGGCTAGTTTTCCACCCCTTTTCCCACCCAAATTCCCTATAAATACCTCATATTTTCCTCCAAAATTTTCACAATTCATCAACTCATCTCTTCTCTCTTATTCTCTAATTTTCTTACTCCCAAATTCTCAATTCTCAAATTCCTACAAATCCTACAATCTTGCTCTCTTTTGTGAAAAAAAAAAATTCATACTCTCTTATAAATTTTACATTTTTACTATTATTACCTTTATTAGTCTACTACCAAAAAAAAAAATTATATTTACATTCGGGAAATTATAAATTCGGGAAATTATAAGTTCGGGAAATTATAAATTTGGGAAAGCATTGAAGCGTCATTGTAAGATCTAACTCAACTTTATTTTAATTTGTTATTGTTAGTTGTTAATCTTGTTATTATTATTATTATTATTATTATTATTATTATTATTATTATTATTGTTATTATTATTATTATTATTATTATTATTATTATTATTGTATTCTTGGAAGTTGGAACTACTTAATTATATAAAAACTACTTTCTATTTTAATTGTGGGTTATTTGGATTGTTGAAATCTGTCTAAGGCGGGACTTGGGCTCTGGACAACGTCGCTCCTAACCTCTCCTACCTGGGATCTCATTGATCCAAGTAATCTACTATTATTATAATTATTTTTAAAAATTTAATTTATATAAAAACTACTTACTAATTCTTATTGTTACTGTTATTATTATTGTTGTGAATTGTTATTATTATTGTTGTGAATTGTTATTATTATTGTTATTGTTATTTGTATTATTATTATTATTGTTATTGTTACTTTTATTGTTATTATTATTGTTATTGTTATTTGTATTATTATTATTATTATTATTGTTATTGTTACTTTTATTGTTATTATTATTAATTAATCATGGCATCAAACCCGAACGCTTCCTCCTCCTCTAGAAAATCCAAGTCAAAACGTAGGGAATCACCAAATCCAAACACTTCAATGCCTATGCCCCCCCTAACATGCCCTTTCCCTCCCCTAACATGCCCTTTCCAAACACTTCCACGCCTTTCTTTCATCCCCAAAACACGGGAGGGCAAGAACAAATGGATGATATGGCTCCTTGGACCCAATTTCAACAAAGCCAATTTCAACAACATGAATTTCCTTTTCCTCTTCCTTCCCAAGGTAGCCAAACACAAGCCTGTGGGTCGAGTGAACCATCCA